TGTGTGCTGTGTGTCGGTGATGTGTCGTTTGTGTCGACACGATGTGTTGACACATGTGTCGTTTGTCGTTTGATGTTTGCTATGTGTCGGTGTCTCTACCGATGTGTGCTGAGCCGAAATATCTGACACGGGACACCGTTCTCTTTCTTTGTCCACAGAGGCGCGCGCGCACGGTGCCGGCTACTTTGCGTTCTCGCAGGACGCCGACGAACGCGCTCGCCAGAGAGCTGAGCTCGACGAGCTGCGAGGTCAAACAGAGAGCCAGCAGACCCGCGCCGAGCTCGCGCGCAAACGCAAAAACAAGCAGCTCAAGGAGAGACTGCGCAAAGTGCGCGAACGCAAACGGCTTCGCCTGGGCCTGCCCATCGAAGGTGAGAGGTTGATATGAATATTTAGTATTGATATGTTGTTATTGAGCTTGGACGGTTTTTTATATACAAATTATTTATAAATCACTCACAGCTTTAGTTTTTATTGGTAGGTTTCGGGAGCGTTGCATGCTAGGAAATTAGATTTGAACGTTTTCAATTAGGCAACGTATGTACAAGAGCAATTCAAAACGCCCCTTTATTTTCAAGCGGTGCAGAGTGCAGACATTTTTCAATAAAAATTTGAACTCGAGTGTGCAATAAAGTTCTCTTTGGGGGGGGGGGGGGAGCAGGATAAAACTGCTGTAAAAAAAAAACATTTTATAGATGAATAGCCATTTCTTAAATCGGAATGACTTGCCCAAGTAAGTAAATCGTGCATTCACATTCAAATGCGCCGGTTTGTTTTCATCCAATCAGTCAATGGGGTCTTGCTTCTTTGCATCGAGCACATAGACATTCCTTGCCCTCACCGCGTGTCCTGTTTTGCAAACACGGTCGTTTCATACTTCATGTATCATCAAAACAGCAGTGATAGCTAGAATCTGAAACGACGTAACTGCATGACCTCGAGCAAAAGTTGAATTGATTGGTGCACTATCGTTGATGAAAAATCACGTAATGTTCTTTTCATTTAATTATAAAAATGAGTATAAATGACTGTTGGTCCCGCCAGTGGGGTGTGAAACCACACATTAGTCGACTCATTGCGTGTAAGCTAAATATATTGCTGCAGCCAAGGCGTTGCAGCCCTCTGCTTTCCATTATTTCATTCGTGTTTGGGGAGCATTTATTTAATGTAATTTGCCCCGCAAACGAAAAGCACTGAACATTGTGTTTGTACCGTCGCGCCCTTATTTTTATTATTTTCTTTTTGTTTTTGTTTTTTACCTGTGCCCGTAGGCCATTTTTCACGCTTCGATCAATGCGTGTACTGTGTTCGAACTCATCAAGGGTCGAATGTTTTCGCTTTCAACATGTTCTGATAATTTGGCGCATAACTCGTACAGAAATAGGGCTAAAGTGTCGCGGGGAAAAGTGCATTCGGAAGTTTTTTAAAGTTCTTTCGCCGTTCCCTCCTTTGACCTAAGATCAGCGGCCTGGCTCCCGGAGGACAAAACGTAATGCGTTAAGGGCTATGCTAAGATTCGGGTGGTTTTCCCTTCGCGCGTGAGAAGGAATCAGAGTGGCCGAAAACGCCCCCCCCCCCCCCCCCCTCCTTCCCAGCTCCCGAGACGAAGGTGAAACACATTGCGACATAGGCTCTAATTCTTTAGATTAGCTATTTCTCCGGTGTCCTGTCCCTTTTTTACATTGCGTTGAAAACGAAATTGGTTTCGTGACATGCGAATGCTACTTGGTTTTGAGATGAAAATGATCTGTATGATAAAGGTTAAGATCCGGCGCTGAGTCGTTCGGACGATACTGTCGGGCCAGATTTAGTGGTGAGCCGCTGATGACTGTCTGATATAATTGTGTTTGTTTCCCGCAGACCGCCTGGAGAAGGCCGATGACTCGGAGGAGGACGCGGCCGAGTCGGGGTCCGCACCGACTCCGGCCGCCGCCGCCGCGCTGACTCCGGAGCAGATCGCCGAACGTCTCCAGGAGGAACGCCGGGAGTACGAGCGGAAGGCGTTCGTGCGCGACTGGGACCGAGGCAAACAGGGAGTCGCCAAACACAGCGGTGAGTGGGGCCGCGAGGACAATTTCGTGTTGTTTGGCTAAGTCAGAAACGGTGGCCGGCGCCTGTTTCGGCTGACAACAGCACGTCAGCTGAATCGGTAAAAGGTCTTAAACTAAGAGAATTTTTAATTCTTGTGAGAAATATTAATTCATTGTTAGCAAAATAAGTGTTCACCTAAGGAATTTGGGATGCGACATATCCACGAGTAACGAAACTGTTTCAGTGTGACAGTCATGTTGATTGTCGAGAGTAGACTGGAAGGGATAGGAGAAAAGATGTTCCCTCGTTAAATCCTGTGTTGCACTTCAGCAGAATGGTATGGTGCACCATTTTTGCTCAGACATATAGTTAGCCACGTTTATTACCCCATTTAAGTAGCATCAGTGAGCAGTTTTCCTTACGTGGAGCATCCTTCGCGTGCATCGTGCATTTCCAGCCACGATAATTGCCGTTCTATTACCCCAGTTGAACCGCCCACCGCCCTGTTCAATGTTCAATCGATTTCTAACTCTGGCCACGTGGTACAGCTAATGAGCAGTGAGCACCCGCCCCTTACTAGCGAATCGGACACCGAAAGTGATCGGTCCGGGCTCGGATTCTTATTAGCCGTGTTTGTTGTCGCCCGTATCCAGGCGCCGATCCTATTGACCGGGCGGCAGTGATAACTTTGTGCTAACGCCCGGTCAAACAACGGACGACACCAGCCAGTAGCGTAATGCAATCACCATCAACCCGGACGCGCGCCAATCGGTCCACGTTTCGATTGCACAATGCGCTGTCCGCCCGCTGCCACCGAGACTGTTTTTACGAGCGCCGCCTGCGTCATCAGACACCGCCAACGCCATTTGATAGTGCTTTTGTGATACATGAGCCTAGTTTTTATTGCAGGTTTAATAATAACCTGGGTTTTGCCAGGGTGTGACAATATTGGCCCCTGCGCGTCATCTATCTGTGCTGGCCTTGTGTTATGTCTCTGGACAGAACTGAACTGAATCCTGACAACTGAATCCTGACAGAACTGAATCCTGTGTAAAACATACATATTCGCGTATGCCTATCCTTTTATACAACCTTTTATGCCTGCTCTCATCAGGGCTCGTCCTCTGTTAATCCTCTGTATGGCTGTGTGTCAACTACTGTACGAGTATGTGTGCGTTCGACAGTGCCTGATCCGCAGCTTTGCCGACACTGCATGGCAATGGTGAATCGTGTAGGTATGTGTGCAGACTCCCTGTATGTCTGTCTGTCCTATAGTGCTGACTCTCGCGTGTCTGTTCGGCAGTGCTGACTGATATGTTTGTCTGTCCGACAGTGCTGACTCCGACGTCTGTCTGTCCGACAGTGCTGACTCTCATGTGCCTGTTGGGCAGTGCTGACTCTGATGTTTCTGTCTGTTTGTGCGACAGTGCTGACTCTGATGTTTGTCTGTCTCAGGCAGTGCTGACTCTGATGTTTCTGTCTGTCCGACAGCGCTGACTCTGATGTCTGTCTGTCTGACAGCGCTGACTCTGATGTCTGTCTGTCTGACAGCGCTGACTCTGATGTCTGTCTGTCCCAGGCAGTGCTGACTCTGTCTGTCTGCCCGACAGCGCTGACTCTGATGTCTGTCTGTCCGACAGCGCTGACTCTGATGTCTGTCTGTCCGACAGCGCTGACTCTGATGTCTGTCTGTCCGACAGCGCTGACTCTGATGTCTGTCTGTCCCAGGCAGTGCTGACTGTGATGTTTCTGTCTGTTTGTCTGGCAGTGCTGACCCAGGAGGAGTGGGTGGAGCGCCAGCGCAAGGACCGGCCGGCAGAGTTCGCTCCGCCCACCCAGTACGAGCCCCGCGGCTCAGCTCGGCGTGGTGGCGGCCCCCGCCGGCCCGAGACGCGGCCTGCACAGGAGAGTTCTGCTAACGAGCGGCCGGTCGGCGGGTCAGGACCCCAGCCGACCTGGGCGGCGACACAAGGCGTGGTAGCTGCCGGGCAGAGCCAGGATGGAGGACTGATCTCTCAGGCGGACGGATCCACGGCGAACACAGGACAAACGCTGTTCAATGTGTCACAGCCACCACCGAACATGAATCAACCTCGACCAAACCTGGGACAGTTTACGCCCGGTGCGGGTCAGCCTCCTCCCAGCGTGAATCATCCACCTCTCAATATGGCGCAGCATCCTCCAAACATGGCGCAGCCTCCTCTCGTCGTGAATCATCCACCTCCCCATATGGCGCAGCCTCCTCCCAACGTGGGGCAGCCACCTCCCAACATGGCGCAGCCTCCCCCAAGCATGGCACAGCCCCCTTCAAGAACAGCCCATCCTCCAAACATAACTCATCTTCCTCCCAACACTGCCTACCCTCCTATCAACCCATCCCACCCTCCGCCGGACCACGACCCCCAGCCGGCAGTGTGCTCCTCCGCTGCGGGCTGGCCGGCGCGTGCTCCCAGCTACCGAGCCCGTCAGGCAGCCGCTGCCGATCTCACAGACCCCGACTGCGTCCCACCGGGAGAAAATGAGTCGGCCGGTCGCGGCGGTGGCACGGAGGTGGCGCCCCCCGCTACCGCAGAGTACTTTGGCGGCACGAGACGCGGAAGGAGGCAGCCGGCCCCAGCGCGACCCGATGTCGGAAGTGCCTTAGAGGCCGGGCTGGCTCTACTCAGTCAGGATACAGAGCAGAAAGACAGCAAAACGTTCGACTTGTAGCCAAAGGCCGATCGGCGTCCCGCGAACCGAAGGGCGGGCAAAAACGTGGCATGTGCTGGTGTAATTGTTTTGACTGTATCGCATGTTGCGCTTGCAAAGGTGAAACTGCTGTCTGTTATTTGTCGCCTGCTGTAGATTGTGTTAACACGTTGATGGAAGTGTACCGTATGTTGTTTTCATCGAAGTACTTTGCAAACATATTCAGGCATCAGCAAAATATCTGCACATTCACAGACATAGCGCAGCTCAAACGTGACTGATTTAAGTTAAACTATGTATTTACATGGACATGTGGAAACACAACCTAACGACAAGTCGGCAGCAGCGGTCTCCCGACTAGATAAGAACACTTTGTAAAACCTAGCAACCCGTTAGTCCCATGGAATGCCTCACCGTGGCCTGGGTTACTAGCGAGCTAACGAAAGAAGGCGAGCAAGCGTAGTCCAAACGTGCACTGGACTGGGGGGCAGAGGTCGGCGGTGTCGCCGCCGCTCAGATGGCCAATCCGAACACGGACACGATGCAGTACATGGTCTTGTTCTCCCAGCGGACGGTGCAGCTGCCGTCGGTGCTGTTATCCCAGTAGCAGGAGCTGGCCGTATGCAGGCCGGCGCCAGTCTTCTGCATGATAACGCTGGTCACTGCGGAGGAGAGAGAAAAGCGGTTAGAGAGGGGAGGGGAGAAGTGCTGGGGCGAACACCGGAGGAGCTGGAAAGGTCAGAGGGGGGGGGGAAGCATTCAGGAGGGAACAGGGAGCAGAGCGGAGAGAGGGAGCAGTCAAAGAGAGTAGAAGGTCCCACAGAGAGAGAGAGAGAGGAAGCTTACAGAAGAAAAGGTGATGGCTCCTGCACCGATGCCCATCGAGATCGGCCATGCCAGAGTTTGTCCCGATATTGTCGGAGAACGGACGAAACATGTGGCATTTTAGGTTCACCAGTAAGAATATACCAACTTATCAGGGATACTTGCCAGTGTTTGACCATTCATGAGATGTTCAAGCAAGGGATGTTACACACATTTATTATTCAAAGCATATGGGAAGCCTTCTTTGTAATACCGAACTCACCAATATATTTGAAGGGTTTCTGAAGCTTTGTCAAGGCACCAAGGCAGGATTCCACGACACTGGATGCCCACTGGTTGACTTTTGCCTGCTGGTATGTATTGCCACCAATGGTGCTCTCTACTGCTTCTTTGATTACGTTGCTCACTTCATCTACCACAAACTGGGTCTGAAATTGGCATACATATTGGTCACTTTAATGGTGGAGGCATTGTTCTCATGGCAGATTAGGATTTTAACCCTCCAATGAGTGTAACTTGGAGAGGAGTAAGATAAATATGGGATAACTCATGTTAAAAATAAAAGTTACAAACAAAATTCACATTGCATGAGGATTGATCACTTCACACCATTGGTTTTATAAATGTAATAGCCAGTAAAGGCAAGGCCCTATACCTATACCAGTAAAGGTTTCTTCCCTACCTAGACCCTGACAAATGAAATTGCAGCATTGCTTATACTGGATTGTGATTTGATATCCATCATTTTGTATCATCAAAACACAATAATGATAAGTGTTAAATGCATGCCATTCCCAAAAGTCATTATAAATGAGTTTAATAGCTAATGTTGGTTCTGGCCGTTCTGGCAGAGGCCGAGGCCAGTGTTGGTTTACAATCACTTCTATCACAAACTACCTATTAAGGGTTGCAACACACATACATTCATTTCATGCCTTGAGATAGAGAATAGCTCCAGCTTCAAAATCCAAAAGCAGTTCAAGAAGGGAAAGTTTCCTGCAAAATGCAAATTACTATAACTTCATTTGTAATTCACGAAACCCTAAAGCCTTACCTCTTCAGATTGATCCTCCATCTTTATGGATGAGTGAAACACTACTATCTGACGAAACCAACAAAATATACAATACAATTTCTATGACAGAGAAAATGTCATATGAGTAGGCTGACAAACGCCCTGGCCCTTCTGAGTTCTGCTATTTTGCAACATCAACAGCTAAATGAGTCAACAATCTTGATGTTTAGTAAACTGTTCATGTTAACGGTACATGCAAATGCTAGCAAATACTGCATGTCAATTTGTTGACATTCCTGCTCATACAGAAAATGTAGTGAAAGTACTCTGAATTGAACACAAATCTGCGTCACTACTCGAAATAAGTGCGCAATTATTTGACCCACCACAACTCCAGTGTATTGCATTCATTGCATTTATGGTATTGCATTGCTTTGGCATTGCTGTATTGCCGAACGGTTGCTGTTTGGATTTTATGATTGCTTAGAGTAAGGCTCAGGCTGAAGCAAATTTGTCAAAGACAGATAGATTTGTAAGCTCCTAGGCCCTGTATTGTATCGAGAGTAAATTACTTTTTTGCTGTTGTGTTTCATACAGAGCTCAAGCTCAAGCTAGTGTCAAGTTGAAGTAGGTAAAGAAGGTTGAATTTCCCAGCATCTCTTTATGAGGAATTGTTTATATCTATCCTCATCTTGCACAGTACAGTCTGTCAGCAGGTAGGTGAGTATTCATCATAATTAATTAGATAATCAAATGTCAATGTGAAAATGAAGAATGCTTCTGATGTCATGCCAAATTGAAATTGAAATGAGAGGGGTTTCAGTTTGCACAATGCTTGTATTTTTCATCAATGCTTGCCCATAATGTACGTAAAATAAAAATCACGTAATACACAACAACCACTTGCATTTAAAGCTGCACTATGTTCCTTTCTAGTATTGGTATGCTTGTTGCAAACCAGTAGGCTTGTTGTGTGATGTTGCAAATAACCAAATTGCTCTGATATCCATATGAAAATAAGCAAAGGTCACAAGCGACTTAAAAGCCTTGCATGTTGACAAAAAAATTAGCCTGCAGGACTTTTTTTTTTGCTTTGTTTTTTTAAGAAACATTTTTTTTCCAATGTAGTGGGTTTGCAATTTATGCATGATTACTCATGACACATGATGCGGCTTTCCTTTTGAATGAAGCATTGGCTCTTAGTGACTGAGATTGCATTGAGTTACCTACTCCATTGAGCCTTGTAGTAGCACTTAGCAGCCAACTTCCTCCCTTTGCATTATTTAACAGTGTCCCAAAATTTGCTGATTTGGGTGGGAAATGGCATCCAAATAAAAATCATTTGGCACTCTCATCTGTAGCTTTTAAGGGCAATTTTCCAGTCCCAATTTTACCAAGAAAAGCATTTGCATGGCTGGTTGTTCTGCCTCCCACATTTTACCACACTTGTATAGAAATTAATGCCCTTTGATTCTTTTTCCTCTCTTTTTGAGCCTTGCCCTTATCAGACTGGCGATTTTCCACTTTCATCCCATTTTTGTAGGGGAGTTCCCCTCTGACACCCATGCCAAAATAAATTTTTGGAACATTTATTTAACATCACCTCTTGTTATTCTGAGCAGGCTATTTTTTGTAATAATCTGCAACCAATCAAATGCTTACAGAAAGTGATTTGACCAAGTTTCGTCTTTGACAGCACAACTTCACCACGATGCGGCGGCGTGCGGGCGTGGGTGCCATCCAGAAGCACCGCGTCACCCAGGAGAAGTACCAGGCGAAGCGGGCTGAGCTGGAGGAAGGTCAGGTGGAGGAGTTGAGCCGGCAGCTGGAGACGTTCCGCGCCCGTCTGCAGGAGTTCGCCACGCGGCACCGGAACGACATCCGGCGCGACGCCACCTTCCGGCGCCAGTTCCAGGAGATGTGCGCCGCCATCGGCGTCGACCCGCTCGCCTCGGGCAAGGGCTTCTGGTCGGAGCTGCTCGGCGTCGGCGACTACTACTACGAGCTGGCCGTGCGCGTGGTGGAGGCCTGCCTGGCGGCGGCGCCGCGCACCGGCGGCCTCATGCCACTGGACGAGCTGCGGCGGCGACTGGCACGCGCCGCCGGGCCCGGCCAGCCCGAGCTCAGTCAGGACGACCTCCTGCGCGCCATCGGCAAGCTGAAGGTGCTCGGCACCGGCTTCCAGGTGGTGCGCCTCGCCGGCGACCGGCACCTGGTGCAGTCGGTGCCGGGAGAGCTGAGCGGCGATCAGACGACCGTGCTGGAGCGCGCGCAGGCGCAGGGCGGCCACGTGACGGCCTCCGAGCTCGGCTGGACGCCGGCGCGGGCCGAGCGCGCGCTCGACCAGCTGGTGCAGGACGAACTCGCCTGGGTGGACGAACAGACCGGCGGAGAGGTCGAGTACTGGTTCCCCAGCCTCTTCCCGGCGCTGAACAATGGTGAGGGCTGAAATGGGGATGCTACGTATTGTCACTGGAGCCGGTGAGACTCCTGTTTACTCTTGGGAGGGGTTTGTTCAGTTCTGAGGAGGAGGACTGATGGTGTGGAACTGTGGGCTGTATCACGCAGCATGTAAGAAGTATAGTCAACTTGTGCTAGCCTTGTGTATCGTGCTCGATTTTCTTTTTAAGACTTTGTGTATTGCTTATTTTACGCGTTGGCGTTAATCACTGTCAAACGCAAAGAAAAGGACGGACAGCAATCAGCTTCCCATACAGCCATTGCCGATTAGTGCTGTGTTGGTGAGAATATGAGTGAATATAATTGCTAATGAAGTATATCTCTTCTTTTTTGTTAACATGTTACGGTCATCCGCAAATTCAGAAACGTTCGTTCTGAACACCGTTCGTTTTCCAGGTCGATCTTGTTGTTTTGAATAGCTCGTGCTCTTATCTGAATGAAAGTCGCCTCAAATCACGATGCGTTTTTGTCAACTGCATGCGAATTTCGATAGTAAGCATGCTGCAAAAAGCTCGCCCCCGATAGTTAAGACTGGCCAAGTCGAAAGCTTCACTGTCCCTCACTGCTCGTTTATTTAGCCCTGCGTGCACCCCGGGGCAGCTCTCGACCGGAAGGGATGGCGTGACGTGTGGCTAGTACCGGCCGTGACGTGGGGCCGTCACTGGGCGTGACGCCGCGGTAACGACTCGGCACGTGACGGCCGGGCCGGGACGGAGCTCGCTGTCCGCGTCTCACCCCGCGCGCGTGGGCGCGGTTCGACGGCTGCGTCCTTGTGGACGGGCTGTGGTCTTCAGAGATGGCTTCTTGTTCTTGTTTACGGAAAGAACTGACCGCGCGTGAGCGCAGTGCTCGAGAATCAAATGAATGCTCAGTGCTAGAACATCCGGAATATCGAAGTTCGAACTGCATTGCTCTAAACGTTATGGGATTGCCTGTTTGGTAACTGGAAACAACTCGGGCGTTGCCGGCTGCGAAATGTTATTAGCGACATGACTAAGACGAATCGTTAGGTGCAGCTTAGACTACCACAGTTGAACAGGCTGAGCAGTTGGCGATTCATCAGTTTATTCAGCAGAAACGAAAACATGCTTGTCACGGTGACATTCGCATTTTCCCAATCCGCTATAATCAGATTCAGTGGAAAGAAATAGTGCAGCAATGTAGCACAGCTTAAAATGTGCACGTTGAAGGGTAATATTCGAGCACGGCGTTCTGCCGTGAGTTCCGGCTAATTAACCCTCGCCTGTGTGCCGCGTTTTCCAGCGTCTAACGTATAGAGGGGGGTGGGTCGGTTGGTCCCCCCCCCCGCCGTTCGGCCCCTGATCAAGCTAGAGCTTTGTGGAAAGATCGACCGCACTGCCCGTGGCGAGAGGAAGCCGATGATACACAATTTTAAGGTCATAGGTCATTGGTTGACCTTTCAGGTCAGGTCAATGACCTAAAAGTGGAGAAAATGAAACTTGGTATACCTTATGATGCATCAATTTCACATCGTGTGTGACATTTTTACCCCAGGTCACGGAAGGTCAGGTCACCAGGTCAAGTAAAATGAAATGACCATGATATGTAGGTATAAGTTGTGATTCTGTCATTCCTACAGCTTATGTCCTAGAAGTTTAGGAATCGGGCTATCGCATGAGAAGACCAGCCTACCAACAATTTGTATATCTCGGAATTCTGATATCGGCGACCTAAGATCAGATGAATTTTGCGACCTCTATTTTAAATCAATGGGAGAAAACTGAAAGGCGTCCCTTTTAGACGACCCTAATTCTAAACACAAACGTCGGGTTACATGTATGATTGAATCAGAAAATTGCACGTCTTATATAATTCCTCTTTGTGCCTATGAGGTCATCTCAGGCCATGAAACGTCTCCAACAGTTTTTGACAATAAGCTTTAGCTTCAGAAATGCTAGAGCGATGACGACCCCTTAGATGCGATTAGCTCAACAATAGGAATCGACTGATGTGTAGCATGACCTTTTCCATGACCATGACCTGAGGTCAAGTGTTGAAGTTGATCTTTTCATGTCTATTCTGACCTATAATTCATTCGACGCGTCTCGACGAGAGAAACGCGATGCCAGTAAAAACAACGTACCTACTGCAAGCTTGGTGTCAAAAATTATTACAGAAAAAAAACTTCCGCAAAACGGTCAAATTTTAAGAATGTTTGCCCTCTGGAGAATCAACCGTCAACATAAAGTCAATTGTCAAAGCTTGAGAACATTGCTCAGAAAGAGCTTTGAAAGAGCTATCGAATGCGCCTACCACTGCTGTAGCTGTATTGGCTCCTGACCGTGACGTATGTGCCAGTTTGTGAAAAGCAGTCAAAATCGGGAAGCAAATTTTTTGGGTGACCTCAGTGATGACGTGATCGAAAAATGGACTTTATGGTACTGAAAGATCTTATAGCGAGCTATTTATTGCTTTTTCGCGTTTTTCTAGCTTTAATTGATTTCTGGTGCCGGTTAACACGCGCACTGGAAAGGTTCCGAAAACTACGCCCAGTGAAGGAGGATGAATGTCTCCACTGACCCCCCCCCCCCCCCGTTCCCTAACATCTCAGCTCCTATAGAAACTAAAAAGACGAAAGGATGGGTGGGGAACTCCATTTTGTGTTAATTTCATGACACTAGGTCATTATCTTCATAGTCAAATGAAGTCAAATTGGGTCAAATTTGCCGTGTGAGGGATATGCCGTATCAGCCGTGTTTACACACCCAGAACTCAAGAAGTTGTCTGTCGATTTAATTATTTATGTCACTACACGATAGTAGGGTAACTGTGGGGAAAACGCACCCCTGGGTTAAACGCCTCCCCTAAAAAAATCGTATTTCTTATCGACGGATAGGTGTTTTATCC